ATCCGTACTTGATTGACGATCGTTAATGAACGTCGATGCAATCGGAACTGAATTCGAGAGGGCATTTAACGGACGTAATCTGCTTGGAAGAAGAGATTGGTGAAATCAAGACTTTACTGCTGACAGCATCACTTTTCTACGCCGGCTTTTCTCTCCGTAGATACAGTTCGTAATCCTAACTAGTTAATGCAACGACGTGTTCAGATTATTAAGATTTCTGGATTTCTAAATCCTCAGATAATCGACCACGCATATAAGAAATTAAAACTAATTATTAAGAAAAATAGTAACAAAATAATAAACAGTATAAATAGTAATAAAATAATAAACAATGAGATTAAGAATATTAAATATATATGTACAAATATTAATAATCATTATCACGATAATTTTCAAACAAGTTCACCGCGAGAACTACAGAATTGTTTACTTCATTATTAGTACATCAACCTCATCTTTAGTACTCGTATCGCATTCGTGTTTCTGTCAGGTATGCAGGTGTTGCACAATAAATCTAAATAATCCGTATACTTTCTGGATGTTTCTTCGATTCTCTGTTTGTCGTCTGAACGGAAACACTTTTGACAGGGTTCGTTCCCCCGTCGTGCTGTCGCCTTTAGAGTTTGCCGTTTTACGTAAGACCGGAAGTAAAACGGGAGAGCGAAATCACCTGCTGCGGGCGATGGGAGGCGTGCCATGGCACGTTAATCGTACTTTAGCGAGAGACTCGTGGGACGCGGCTCGCGGACAGCGGTTCGTTCGTGTCGCCGATTGAAATATATACCATCGGAGATATCCTGGGACCGCAAGTGTCCTGGGATTCCCCTCCAAGTCTCGGTCGAGTCACAGTGCAGAAGTCGCACCGAGGTCGATCGACAAATAACACCTTCGTATCCTGCAAACGTACAAAGACGGATACGGCACGAGTTTATGCACGGAGTTGGCTCCCATCGTCAGAGCTACGTGCCCGAGAACGTAGCCTAAAGGTACTCCAGGACGATCAATACATTCTATTGTCATTGTGCTACGGCGAACGCTATACTGAAACGCGAACAAATATTGAGGAATTGTCGAGACGTTCGGATATTAGCAAGACGACGTGTGACGGGAGTTAAAGTATTTTTCATGTCGACGGTAAGTGACGATGGCTAAAAGATGATGTATTGGTTTATTGATCGGGTTTAGCGAATTTCTAAAGATAATCTGTCGTTTCGAACACGCGAGAATCATCGGAGAATACTCATCGAAATTTTCCGAAAATTTACTAATTTAATGAATTTTATTTTCCGACTATTTTCGTGCGCTTCGCAACTTGCGAGAGATTTTTTTGCTCCTTGAAAAGTAGTACGAGTGAGTGAAAATGAGAGATCTCCCCGGTTCCGGATCTCTGAAAATGATCCTGTTCTCACGACCAGAAACTCTTGCCTCTGGATGTCAAGATCGGGCTAAGTTTGACAAGTTTTGTTCCACGATTTCATTCACCGAGACCCGCGTCACACAGTTCGGCTCGCGCGTACCACACGTCGGGAATGTAAGCGGTTGACGACTTCGGACGGTAAAGTTTAAATCCTTTCGCCAAAGGTATTTTCTTTTTCAATATTTTCTCTTCCTCGAGATATACTTCTCGGCGGGACGTTACATGCGGTTCTAGCAAGCAGTGAAACTTCTATTTTCTCGAGAAACGATGAAAATAATCCATGAACATTCTCAAAATTGAGTATTCAACATTTCTATCATTCCGTTTTAAGATCGCGAGTCTAATAGACGCACGGCGTATATCTATCTTTATCTTTGAAAGCTCGATAAAGGAAGGGTTAATTTAAGTAGAGTCTGACATTATTATTACGTCAATTATCCCGATTGATTATTCTATACTTTGCGCAATGATCTTTATTTGTTATCTTTGTAGCCGATATAAAGCCCGTATATTTTATCTATGTTTTTTTTATCACATCCTTATAATTTTATACACATATGCAGACAGGCTATAAAAAGTTAACTGTAACTTGAAGCTAATAAATAGGCACTCGTTCTCTTTTTTTTTTTTTAGTGTTCTCTCGTAGCAGCTGAACGTTCTCAAAGAAAATATCAGCTTTATTGTCACTTCGGGCTTTGATAATATTTTGAATAATTTGAATAAAGCTACAAAGTAATTAAACTAGCTGTTATAATAATTAATAATCAAATAATTAATTAACCAACACACTCGCAATTTACATATTACCATTTTCCTCTATTTTACATTTCGTATACTTTTTTGTACACGTTATCTCTTCAAAAACCAGGAAGAGAAAAAACCCAACTCTTCCGGTGCGCGATCGATACGTAAAACTTTTTACTTTAATCACTTTAAGGTCGGGGAAAATGTCATGTCAAGAGGAAAGACCTTTCACTTTTATTTTATACCCACAATATATATGTACATCATGCTCGAGCTCAGCTCGCGATACAATTTATCGTTTAACCTTTAATCGAATAATGTAGAAATTAAGCGGTACTTAACACTCCACTGGTTAGGAAAATAAGTCGCAATAACGAAGTTAATTCCTCGTTTTGCTCGCAAGGCAGACTACAGATTCGCGGGCTATTTGAGGCCGCGCGAGAACTTAATAAACAAGATCCATTTCTTCCACTTTTGGTTTCGACGCGCCCGTTAATAATACCTTAATCATTGCACAAAATGGAACAACATAATTGTAAGACAGGGAATAAATAGCATAATGATAGCGAATAAAAGGGAGACAAGAAAGCTCCGACATTAATTCTATAAAATATAATTAACAGTGTCTACGAAGGAAATTATTTCAATATTCTGAGTAACGTAAATGTATATAACTTAATTATTCGTATTGTGTCAAATACTATTCTTTTCTTAGCATTGTTTGCAATGTTATTATAATAAAAAATTATTTTATTTTGCAATATTAGGCGAGAGAAATGGAGCTTTTCATTGTTTGCGTATCTTAAAATGCCTATCGTCCGATAAAATTATATAAAGTAGAAGCATGTATAAAACTCAGCTACCCGAGATAACACGAATTTTTGAAATATAAAGCATCGTGAATATGGAATTATACGTTATAGCAAATAAGATTTCTCTAGTGTATTTTCGAAGGGAATTTATACACGCGCATAAATATTAATACAATATTTAGCGTTACGCGCAAGCATTGTTATTGTGGTGAAGTCCTTTGTAAAGTTGAACGCAGAATCGGAACAAAAGGCAAGTATAGAATGTCTGACGATTCGCACCGAAATAATTTAACAGCTTCAGTGCGTCATGCCAGGAAAATATATGGTTTTCTAAAAATAACGAGTAAAAAGTAACGATTTCAAGTTATCATTTCTATACCGAGTTGACAAAATAAATTTTTATAGATCAGGAAATCCACCTATAAAACTTTAAATTTTGTATCAGCAATCAATTCGTATTATCAGAGTAATCCTTTGCGACCGATAATTCCATAACGCGTCGATTGAATTGCGATTGGTGGCTTGTATATTTTTAAAAGACAGATTTATCCGCAACATATGAATTCACGGAAACTCTGATGTGAATATAGTGGCAAATGCCGGTATGACAAAAAGCAATAATACGATTTTCTTCTGGCGTAAATTAAAAAATATATTTTCGAAAAACACGAAAATACATTATGACCAAATAGAATTCAATTCTCACAAATGTATTCGTTATTATCGTGTTCAATACGACAGCTAAATATAAATATAAATTAAAATATATGGTTCTGGAGTCACGAATCGTATCAGCTCTCAATTAGATAAATTTTCATTGTTCGCAATGAATTGCTCTTTTAACGAAATTTGTCTGCATTTTATTTCATTACGTAATAAGTTTTCATAATTGGGAAACAACGCAAATATTCCAAAGATGCGAGGAGTACAGTTGGCCGTTTAACGTTAAATGATTTAGCTGAAAAATAAAATATCAAAAGTGCAAAAAACTAATGGGATTATTTATTTTCCAATTAATCACGTAGTCTTCGCTTGGTGAAACTTTCGTCTGAAATCCAATTTGCGATGTTGAAAGCGGAAGACAAATGCTTCGAATGAACTTTTAGTCCAGAAAACACGTCGAATTAAAATTGTGTTCGATAAATGAGATGTTGTAATCAATTCGCTATTATTTATTTGTTCTAACACCGCTTGTAGGAAAAGGCGAATTACGTGAGAAACGTTGAAAACTTTAGAGAAACGTGAAGTCACATCGCAATTTGTCGCTTCAACTTGCCGTAAAACGTGCTGTCCTAAGAAATAAAACTTTAATATACGCGATTAAGGTTCGGAAACTGCACGGGGTAATATGCATCTAGCAGAAAACAGCCGGCGCACTTTACGTGCACGCAATATATATATCGGTATACACACACACACACACACACATATATATGCACATACGTATGTAAAGTAACCTGGTGAGAAGGTGGAATATTAATGAGTACAAAAGTGGAATCGTTGCAAGCACCGGAATTCGTTTCGTTTTACGGAAGTACGCGGAAATGGAACTGAATCCGCAAATCTGAATCTAATTCGATAAATAACAGTTTTTTCACGATCGCTTAAAAAAAAAAAAAAAATCATTCGCGGTAAAATTCGCTCCTGATTCGTTACATCGAAAATCTATACACGGTGTGTGTTATTTGTTTTAGAATTCAAAATTGTTTAAAAAAGAAATATAACATCTTATCTATAACATCTTAATATTAGCTAATATTATATCAATTATATAATCCTTTAATAAGAGTGACGAGATTATATTGAAAATCGATACACTGAAGGGATGAGAGTTTGATATTTTCAGAAAAATGATATTTACTAACATGATATTTTGATATCCCGCGATTAAAATAACTGACATTTTTCTTAAGTTGTTTATCACTCGACGATGGAATATTCTCCGATTCTTACGTCACAGTATTCGAACAATTTTTGTACATTATTGAAAAAAACAATACAACGATCAATACAAACGCTTTACGTACCTATGTCCATCAAATGGACCTCACCAAGATGTCGTGCGGCGTAAAGGTGAAGTAATCCGAAGGCGAGCTGCATCCCGGTGGTGAGCAACAGGGCGAGAAAACCGGCTGCGCAAACCAGCCAGCCCCATCCACCCTCTGGATAGAAATGCGCCCGCATACCGGCGACGTCTATCCCTGATAGAAAAGATTATCCTCTTTATAATTCAGAGATAAATCGCGGAATCGCATTCGGATACTGTCGAATGTCGATAATAGAATATCTCGCGGCAAGGTTGGATTTAGCATTTTAAACTCTTAATAGGAGATTTCTGATATATAATATGAATGAGAAATTTGCAAAGTGATTTAGTAACTTGTAGTAGAGACCATGAGTCAAAAAAGTAATATTTCATTATCATTTTAATTTCCTAATTTATAATTAATTTATATTCATCGTTATCACTAATATATTTATGTAATATTTATTTACTTACTTAAAAGCCATATGATTTAAATAATTTATTGGAGTAATATTACGTACAAAAAAAGTGAAAAAAATACAAAAAGAAAAAAAAAGGAACAACACTGTTATAGATGATATAATTTTATTCATTCTATTATTATACTTATTGAATACTCAAATATGTATAATTAATCATATATAATTTTGCGAAAGAGATAAAAGAGAGACACATATTATACCTGTACGACGAAGTGCGGGTACACAACGATGCAGACTGCGTAGATCGCTCAAAACCCAATTCGTATTGCCACCTATGGTTTCATCGTCCATGTAACGCAGACGAGTGTCTGAAAGAAATCGTGAATTAATCGTGAAACACATCATTCGTGTAATTATTCAAGTATCTCTATATATTTTCTGCCTGGAATTGAACAAAAACGTGGAAGCAAAAGAGCGTTTTTAAATATAACTTGTCGAGGAAACCGTAGTTGGTTCACATTGAACGGTATCGTTGGGTTCGGAAATGGGTTCGTTGAATTGAAACACTTAATTCCTGAAATAATACAGCACGTGAAGACATTGAACTGCCGTATAATGGGAAACGACTGTTCGGTTACCGCGACGACGACACCTGCGGCTGGCAACAGCAGCGTTTGCATGAGACAGAGTGTGAGATGGGTAAGAACCAAGAAGAAAGAAACGAAGTGAGAGATGGTAGGAAGGAAGGAAGAGATGACGGTCAGGTAAATGCATCTTTGAAAGAAATGACGAAACTTCCGTTAGATTGAAAAAAGTAACGTTGGGCACGAAGTCAAAGAGCGGGTTACGAAAGAAGGAAGAAAGGTTGAAGATCGTGAAATAGGCGTGACCTTATTCGTAAAAAATTATGAATTCAGAGTCAGTTTCTGATCGCGGGAGAAGATATCTAATTAAATTTATGGCCGTGTTGCGTATGCGCTACGCGAATCCAAACTTTTCCATTAGCGGCGTTAAATGTTAAATACCTTTGGGTTTTGTGTTGCCACGCATATCATTCTGACAAAAATCGAATTTAAGAGTACCGTCGTTATTTAAATTTGAAAATCTAGCGAAGCCATTTTCATCAAATATGTAATTAATTATTTTGTTCGATTAGTTTGAGTTTGATATAAAAAAGATTGATAACATTTTCCCACTTGCCTTCTACAAATTCATAATCATTTTGTCCTCCTCCGGAATTCATAAATATTAAAATTAAATATCGCTCTTTTTTTCATGTAAAAAATTTTTCCTCAATACCTGGAAAATATGTCTCTCTACATTTGGTAATTATTCGCATGCGCGTTACTTGATTTTACATTTCGTTTTATACTAATTTATAGTAATTAAAACTGGGTTTCCGAATGTCTCAGTTTCTAATTTATTCGCGAGTTGTTCTCGTATTATATAACAGTTTGACATCAGTTGTAAATTATCGCACCACCGTGTCAGTATGAGTAAAACTGCGTTCACCGATTCAATTCCGCAATTCAATTTCGAGAAACATGTCCGTAAGTGGATAAGTTTCTACGCAAGCTCTGTTGCGCTTATTAATGTTCGGTATGTAAAACCATTTGGAAGAGATTATTTGCACGATGTCTAGCATTGTCGTCGTTGTCGTTATCGTTACTGTTGCCGTTGTCTTTACTGTTAACGAGAGACGTTACACGTTCGCCTTTAGGTGAGTAAATCAGCGAGAATGAAATTTTCTTCATTACCCGGTACGTAATGAATAAGGTATGAAAGGAGCGCGTAGTGAGGAACGCACGTTCCTAACGCGGCAGAAGGAAGAGAGAAAAAAGATACGAGCGTAGGTATTTTGCCGAAAATGACGTGAGACATAGAAATTGACATAGAAATTGTCGAGGATGGCATCGAGGGCAAAATTACCGTGGGAGTTACGACCTTCTTGATGCCGGAAAAAGAGCGGCACGTTCGCAAGAAATGCGAATTTCTTGCGAACGTGCCGCATCCTTAGTGAAATCACGGTCGCATTTCCGCTGCACGATCTAAACGAAATATCTAAAATACCGCTTCGAGAAGCACGGAGAATGTGCAGTGATTGCCTCAAAGTAAATACGCAAGAGGCTTCGATATATAAAAAGAGGACGTTTTATATCTGCCTCTCTCGAACGTACAAGTAACTTCAGCTTCGTGGATATTTCTATTTCCGATTAAACTTTGTAAAATTTTCGCGATCTTCACTATGTTATCGAAGCCACGTAATAATAAAAAAAAACTATCAATAATATTTTCTCCATTGCGTCATTTATGCTATCATGATTTTGAAGAAATTTAAGCCTCGATATTGTTTGTACTTTTTATAATTCGGATAATAAGAAATTAATAGATAAAAGAATATTGAGTTCTCCTTTTATGTTTATTACGATATAGATGTGAAATTATTGATTCTCTTTTATATAAAAGAAATAAGACTAAAATTACAATTCCGATTGCTATTCGAATTCACCTTTGTCAGTCGAGATTGAATACCGATGTATTCAATGGTTGACCTACATTTATGATAGACATTGTTTTCAACATCAAACACAAAATTTTAAGATACTTCTTCGACAAAGTTAAGTGGAATTGATTCTTATTTTACCATTGTTGTAAGCTTTTCATTTTGTCCTACTTCTTTTATTTTCTGTCTTCATACGAAGATAAAAGAGACAATTAATATTTGAGGAACAACGAAAATTGAAAATTTTCAAAGTATATCAATGTTTTTTACATATAAAAAACCTAATGTATAGGGTAACTTCGCCGCGCTGGGATTTACACCGCAGAAGTCAGAAAAAATAAAAGGAGTGGCGATAATTTTCTCGCAACTACTCTATTAATGTCTTTATGTTATATCAATATAGTGTTACGATTTCAGTTTCTTACTGTTAATATTAATGAAATTATTGCGAGTTGAATCGATTTGTTAAGTAGCACCATAAATTATAATCTACATAAAATGATTACTGTAGGACGTGCAAAAGAGTGGTTATTTCGTGACACACGAATGTAGAAGAATAGTAAAGCATATTGTATAACAAAATACAAATACTTCGCTCTTGTATTCTTTATTTAGTTTGTTGTCTTGTATATCCACCTGTTTGGGATATACGGTATTTTTAGCGGGCGGGATTTATTATTTTTTATGCCCAAAGCATACAAAGTGCGCAGATTAAATTCAGTGCACTAAATACAATAAACGCATTATATGAAATATGTACCTCATAATACTTGTAATACATGTGGGAAGGCTGTAATTATTATTTATTACTTCATATACATATTTATTATTCTTATTCCTTAATAAAAGTTTATAACCGCATTTTATAAGTTATTGTGTCATTTTACGTCTTATTTATATGCATTATTTGTAAATTTTTCATGAACCGTATCCCCCCTCCCCCCTTTTCCATATGAGTAGCCATATATTCCACCCCTATGGGATATACGACAAAAATGCAAAGGTTTAAAAAAATTCATTTTTTAATACGAAATATAAATATTTTTTTCATAATAGTAGATAGTACAAAATTTTTACTGATATAGTTCGTTTACTTTAAACATAGTAAATAATACTTAATAAATTGAGTTTTTGATAGGTACGGCATATATTCTGGAATTACCCTACATAAAAAAACAGACTTGCTAAAAGCTCTATACAGCAATTTTCGTATTATCTAAACATATTACTTTAACTATTACTAACAGAAATATTTTCTAAAAATCTCTATACAAAAATTAGAAGAATTTTATAATTTTCTCTGCTATCAATTTATATATATATATATAATATAATTCTGCAAGAAATTAAATATACGGCGCACGAATTGCGACATTATTATAAATTCCGGTTGTGCGAACGTGCTACATAACTTCAGATTCACTCGAATTAATTCAGTTCATTTAATTAAAGTAAATTCAATTAAACATCTGAATATTGGCACAACTTTAATATTGCTTCCGTATAAACGGAATAATATATCTCGCGGTATGTATCAAATTAAAATGTAGTAAGAATAATATTAATTTTGAGATTACGGACGGTAATTCTTGAATTATTTTGCATAATTGGTATTCAGGATATACGATTGGAATATATTTGACTAACTGAAAAGTAAACTCACCGCCGTGATACGAACTTCCACGGTGCGGCGTATACGTGCCATTTTGACCCTCCATACAATGAGTCGGCGTATAGTACTGCATGGGATGTTGCATGTAATTATTGGGAGTGTTGGGGACATGTACAGGATGACAATGTATGCATCTTCGTGGTGTCTCGGGCGGAGCCTGCAAACAAGATGAATTTTCAACGCATTTGAGTGTTGAAGAGACGAGGAGCACAATGTAAAGGCGTTCATGTAGACAATCGCCATGTTTATTATTATTATCACGAAATATTACTCCTCGCTGATGTATTATGCAATATTGCGCAAGATTATTTCTCAAGTTGTTAATAACAATCTACCAGTATTGTACATGAAAATTTTATCGTATAAATGTCATAAGCTGAATTTATAACGTCATTTCAAAAAGAGAACGTTAACCTTAAAAATTATTTATTATCTTTACAAATGAAAAAGATCTTTTTCAAAATGAAAAATTTTTCAAAATTAAGTAACCAGGATACCAAAATGTTTTTAAATTGAAAACTGAAAATTCCATTTACGTAAATATTGCTTAAAATTAAGTGACTTGTAATAAATGTTTTTTAAACGTTTATTAAAGCTATGTCTCCATCCAATTCTATATTTTTTTCCTAGAGGGAAAAAACCTATTTTGCTAAAGTATTTATAAAAATTTAGATAGATAGATACCGATTTAAATAATTTTTATTGGATCATCAAAATAATTAAATAGAAAACTCAAAGGACATAAACGATGCTGCAAAAAATTTTAGTAATCAATTTGAACATCCTACCAATAAAATTTATTTTCTAGATCTATATCTAGTTAAATTTTTAGATACTTCAGCAAAACCATTCCTTTCCATGCATGAATTATTTCCTTTCCAGTTGTAATAAAATCGGTTTTCTCATATATCGCATTTAATAATGTGTGTAACTCGATAAAATGCTCTCTTTTTACTATCCCACGTTATATATCTCTACGTTATTATCTCTATATTTATTTTTTATTTTCACATATTGACAACCAATTTGAGCGTAATTATTCCGATAATCCAATACTATTTTGATAATCCAATAAAATTTATTTTCAGATCTGTATCTAGGTAAATTTTTAAATACTTAGTAAAATCGTTCTTTCCACACATAAGAGATCGCACGACACGCTTCAATTATATTATAATCTGCGAAAATCGATAAACGAGTGTATAAGATCTTTGCAAAATTTTCAGGAACCCCCGATCAATCACGATGTAATCGCGCGTAATAACAGACGGACGGTTTCAACAGCTCACCTGCATGGAGTGTTGCGAGCGCAACGATCTTATCGAGCCGGTCGGATGCAAGGATGGCACGCTGCCGCCGAAGCTCATGGCCGAATTTCTGCATCCTCCCGGGGTGGACCAACCGCCGCGCACGCTAGCCGTAGTCCACCCCATCCCGCTTCCGCAGTCATCCACCAGCATCTTCAGGGCGGGTGGACACGCCGCCTTATGTTTTATGCTTCCGACATCGACGGCATATCAACGGTCACGTCAATTCGACGCTCGATATCCCGTACTCGTGTCACGTTTATCCCCCGTTGTAATAAACGGCGAAAAACTAAATTACATCTTTCTTGCTTCCCAAATTCCCTGAAGCACGGGACTTCTGGGATGGACGACGTTAGACGAGTCCCGCTGAGCACGAGGGTGAAATACGAAGACGAAGAAGGTCGTTCGACGGTGCGTTCGAATTGCGGTGAATATTTTCCATTTCGGTCTGGAAGCAACATGGAACGTGCTCTGATTTGCTATCCTAGTTATCGATAATTACATTACACGCAATGCGTACGTGTGCGTAGATTGTTTGAATTTATCTCCTATTCTAATCGGATACGAGTAATTTGCAACGTGCTAAAATAATTTATCATTCAAGCTGCATATTTGACGGATATGTCAGTATAACATATGTAATTGTAACAAGAAAGTTACAATTTTTATCTCTTAACAAATAACAATTTTACCGCTCGATTGAATCCATATCACGTCACCGATAATATGCAAATGTGTTTTCGCGTCGTTTTAGTTACGCCACATTGAAAATCTTTAATTAACTTTACATTCAATCAATTAATTACGTTATCATTTCCCGAGTGAAAATATGAAATATGCATTTCAATACAATCATTTAGGCATGCCGTAATAATTTTTATTGTACAGGTAATAGGGATCATAAAACTGTCATTATAAATTCAATGATTACGTTATTGTGCGTTTCGAGAGTCGGGAAACAGCCGATTGCTGATGTAGGTAAAGCATTAAATATCGAATATATGCATCGCGGATAGGATTTGTTCGATTTGTACACGAGGATTTATAGCGTGAATGTTTTATGCATGTACTCATCCGAGAGAAGAGTCGATGAGGATAAAATTGTTATTGGATGCATATCGGACGTGCACGCGCAAGTTATTTTGCTTGGAGTTATTGGCATACACGCCAAAAACACATCCTATTTCGTCGGTCGGATTCAATTAATCTCCAAACGTCTCGCAAGTTTAACTAACAATGAATCTTGCACTCTCAGCAAAAAAAAAATTCTCTTTCAATTCACAAAAGTCACGCGGCTTGCGTTCAACATCATTTTCCGAGTCAACAATATTTTGCAAAAAGTTTGTTCAGTTGATAATTAGAAATATAGTTGTAATTATATTGTAAATTTAAATTAAAACTCGAAAATCCAACTCTGCAAGATTTCATAAAATAATCGTGAAATATTAAAACGGAAATGCTCGCTGGAATTTATGGACGCGTTCTATAAGATCTTGTTGCCCGGCCATACCGCAAAAGCGTATATATAACTCGCGAAAAAACTGTTTTCAGTCAGTTGAGAGGATTAAAATGATCCGTGTGTGTGCCCCCTCCAATCTCGTAGCACCGCAGTAACCATATCCGCATTTCCACCGACCTAATTACATTGATATTCATGTGTGTTGCCGCAGAACTGTATTGCCTTTGTTTTTTTTAAATGTCCGCAGCACAGGAACTGTCTGATAACAATGACACATGGTGTTCCCCCTAATTATAGGTACCTGCGTATAACGTTACCTACGACTTTGGCACATGATCGCAAAAAATAACAAATTTGTGTTTGTCCTTGCGAGAGAAGTGTGTCATCGATGAACAATTCACTTATTCTCTTCTTATTATTTTACTTTATTTAAAAAGGTACCTATTTAAATGGGTACCTTTCATTTAATGACACAAGTCGACATAAAATTCCAATAGGTAACAAAGAATGATACTTTTGTCGACTTGTGTCACTAATTAGAAGGCACACAATAAATTAAATACAATTCTTATCGTATTGGTGTTAGTATAAACATGAATTTTAAATCATGATGTTAAATTCACACCATATATTGGTGTTTATATCAACATGCGTACAATAAAAATTACATACACGTGTTAAATCCATATCCCATATTTTTCAAGAATGGAATAATACTTTGAAAAGAAGATTTCTCAAATAAAAGGACTCAATCGCTTTAGAATCATTTTGATACTCTTTTATAGCATATATTTATGGCAATATATTGTATAATAATACACAGGAGTATTGCGCGGTATTTTTAGTAGATATTTATAATAGATAATCTTTCTTTCTTCACGTCTAAAGCGTATAAAGATATGAATAAGAAATGAATAATGAATCGTATCGATATATTCCACGATAGTCTATTCGTACCAACGCATAGTGTATTGGGTCATCTGACGTTGCAATTTTTATTTCGCAAGATTTATGTCCTCCGTCCTATGCTACTGATCCTTCGACTTGCCCTATCGTGAGCTCGATATCATGACTGCGTGTGCAGTGAAGTTTCGCAATAAGAATAACAGCACTGAGAACAGACCGCGGATTTGTATTCGCCACTGGCGTCGTCCGACGTATATTTTCGCTCTCACGTCGGTGACAAGCATCGCGTCGGAAAAAAGGAGAGAAATTCTGCAACGACCCTAAGAATACCGCGGTTATAAATCTACACGGACAGCAGTTTTTAATCGGCACTGCTAAACGGATGAAACTTGAGAAAAACTTGACACCGACAACGCGTGTTTATTCGTTCCCGCTATGTATTAGAAAAAAAAAAAAGAATTTGCGAGCTTAAAGGATCAAACAGGATCCATTGAGTCACAAAACTGTCGTATTTTCGATGAAATTCGACGAAGAATTTGACGAAGCATCTTTTAATTCTGTGTAATTTAGCATAATTTTGATTGCGATATGTATATTTTGAATTGATTTGAAGTTTTTCTTCCATTAAATTTATTTTATTGAAATAAAATAGAGAATATTAATATAACAAAAATAGAAAAAAAGAAAAATAAATTTCAACAATTAACTTGTAATGTTTTGATAAAAATATATAATTTTTCCCAGACAGAATATGTAATCAAACGTATTCAAACTTAAAAACACAAATTAAATTCAATCGACGAGACAACTCGTATTGATCTCAGCTAAATAAATAAACTTCGAATAACTTCCAGAATAGAATTGTCAACGGCATAAGCTGTATTTCAAACGTCTGATGTATTTTCAATAAAATCAATCGTTATCGCACATTTACTGTTATTATCCTTATGAATGATATATGTATAGGCGCATGTGTATATTTTGTGGCCTGACATATTTCACTATCTCTCATACACGATTGAATTAAATTTATAGTACAGAAAAAAAAATCGCACGTTTAATCCGGCATTAAATAAATATTGCTCGTGTTTATTTATTCATTCGATTCCAGAATACGCGATTATTTTTAATTGAAAATATCGCCTCGCCTGACTTCACAGAGAAGGTTAATATCGCACACAGTTCTTACGCAAAGAACAAATAAAATTTCAATTTTTAAACAATGAATTAAAAGTATAAATAAGTACCATTCATGCGATTCATTGTTGTATTCGCTGTAACGAATTAAATGTAGGACAAATGAAAAGCGCGTTTCATTATGCTCACGTATAATAATAGTCGAAATATATTCGACGTAGCAACAATAACGGAGTTCTAATTATAACAAAATACATTTAAGGCAATGGTACGGCCCGCCTTCGTAAATATGCTTTGGATCCTCACACGCGTTGGCAAACTAATATCGAATAACATTATTAATTAGCGGTAAATGAGCACGCGCAAAAGCGTATGGCAAAGCAGGTTTGTTTCCGAACAAATATTGCACCGCCGCATAATTATCGTTTATGCGTGCAGTCGCAATATTAACCAGATATGTATATACAATCGCTTTATTACATGACCTGTGCTTACATCATTTACTGCTCTGATCAGATTTCTTCATACATAATAATCGCATGTAATAAACAATGTATATTAATTGTACAAATCTTATCCCTTCCTCCTTTTAAATGCTGTGTAAAAATATTACTATCGTAATATAATTACTATCGTACATAATTACTATCGTAATTTTCCCAACGAGCACGCGTTTAATTAATTTAACAAGATTGAAATCATTAATAATATATTAAGTTATCCGTCCAACTTTTTAAGTTTCCTGGTTGACCTTTCAATTCATTACGAGAACAACACACTAATCGATTGATTATATTAGGTGTTGGAATTAATTCGTAGCGTTTTTTAATGAAAGAATGTTATTTATTTCACATGAGCATTAAAAAATACATTAATGAAAGTACTTCCCATCACTTGTAAAACGCTACGAATTAATTCCAACACCTAATAACTTTTACAAAAATAAATATATTGTAAAAATTTTTTTTAATAGAAATACCAGACATTATGAAACATAACAATAGTAAGCAAATATATCTTTATTAATAAAAAAAGTTATAAGCAATGGAAAAAATATTGGACAGAAATGACAAAAAAAGTCGGGTAGTTATATCGAAAAGTTTTTAATTTAAGAATTAAAAACATAAAAATAATCTAGAAAAAGAAACTTCGTACTACTAGCTTATACAATATATAGAAATTATATGAAGCTACGAAAAATCTTTTATCAAAAGTTTAATAATATGTACTATTAGTGAAAATTATTTTCTCTACACTAAGAGAAAAATCTAATTTCCTAATAAATAATTTCCTAATAAATATTTGTTTGCTAACTAAATATTTAATAAACATAAATATATATTCATTTGATACACCGTTAATTTGATTTAGCTATCATTTTTTTATTTAGTAAATATTTATTTATCATAAGTAAATGTTAAGTTAGTACTGTTCAAACAATTATTTATAAAATTAAGTACGCACACATTTTTTCTTAATATAGTATAATATATTTGGAATTTAAAATTATATTATGTAAATTTTTCGTCAACAATTTATTGTCTACCAACGCATACTGAGATAAAAATAAAACTTAGCAGTTAAAATATCTCGAAAAGAGAATATTTCATATCGTCATTTCACGAGAGATTATTTCTCGGGGCATAGAGGATTAAGACAGTCTGCGGTCGGGCGCGACGAAAGGATGCGTGTTGACACACGGGATACGGAATTCCGGCCTAGCAAGAACTAGACCGACGGGGAGGTTCGCGACAGTACGTACGACAAGGCGACAACGAACGACGGAGGCCGAGTCACCGGGTAATCCCACTAGATTGAATCCCCGAGTACGAGCAATCTGTGCGACTACGGTAGATGCTTATGTAATCGTAGCTGTCACGAACCGGGCCATCATTTCGCGCCTCTCTACTCCAACTCCTAATTTTCTATGAAAACATTCGCGACAG